GAGAGAGAGAGAGAGAGAGAGAGAGAGAGAGAGAGAGAGAGAGAGAGAAAGAGAAAGAGAGAGAGAGAGAGAAAGAGAGAGAGAGAGAGTTTATGTATGTGTGGCCATACTATGCTTGTATGTAGCCTTTCCATGTTTATATTCTTATTTTCCTTCTCGTCTATGTTCTATGTACAGATGAATAGACAAAGGAAGAAGCAAATAAATGAGAAGATGAAGATAAAATGCAACAACCACACAGAAACAAATTTCCCGAGTGTGCAACATGCGACCCAGCAATACGATTTTCCTGCAATATATTTTCTTCATATTTTTCATTCCTTCTTTTCTATTTCTCTTTCTTCTTTTTCTTCTATTTTTCTTTCCCTGCTCTATTTCTCTTTTTCTTCTTATTTTTCTTTCCCTTCTTCTTATTCTCTTTTCTTCTTTTCTTCTTATTTTTCTTTCCTTCTCACTATTTCTTCTTTTTTCTTATTTTCTTCCTTCTCTATTTCTCTTTTCTTCTTTTTTCTCTTATTTTTCTTTCCTTCTTCTCTATTTTTTTCTTTTTTCTTCTTATTTTTTCTTTCCTTCTCTATTCTCTTTTCTTCTTATTTTTAATTTCCTTCTTCTCTATTTCTCTTTCTCCTTTTTTCTTCTTATTTCCTTTCCTTCTGCTCTATTTCTTTCTTCTATTTTCTTTTCTTTCCTTCTTCTCTATTTCTCTTTCTTCTTATTTTTCTTTCCTTCTTCTCTATTTCTCTTTTCTTCTCTCTCAAAATAACAACCGAAACGTGCTGCTTCCCAAGATCCTTTTAGATTTCTCAAAAGTCGAGAAGCAAGGAGAAATATACACCCCTTCTTGAGACAGCCGTTGAGAATTTAATTAACCCCGATCTGCAAGATAAAAGGGATAATGAAGCTAATGATAACACGTATCCATGGCAACCCCGTACCGGCTACTCCTTCTCCTTCATCCTGACGCCTTCAACACGGACCGAAAATGTCCCAAGACGCCCGCGACTCCAAGCGACGTCTTATCTGATCTGCGGCACCACGACCCGGCGGGTGGCTGCGGCGGGCGGGGGGCGAGGCCGAGCGGCACCCCGGGGCAGGAGGCAGGGCACTGAGGCACATCGGCGGCCGTCTGGGCACCCGTTGACAAGTGACAAGTAAGTGCTTGCAGGAAGACGTATCTCGGAGCAGACATGTTTGTGGGAGAAACTTTTTATTTTTTTTTATTTTTATCTCCTCTCCTTCTTCCCTTTTTGCTGTTTTTTTTCTCTTTTTTGGGAGAAACTTTTTTTTTCTTTTTTTCTTATTTTTATCTCCTCTCCTTCTTCCCTTTTTGCTGTTTTTTTTTCTCTTTTTTGGGAGAAACTTTATTTTTTATTTTTCATATTTTTATCTCCTCTCCTTCCCTTTTGCTGTTTTTTTTCTCTCGTTTTGGTCTTTTTAAATCTTTTTTATCTCTCCCTCTTCCCTTTTTGCTGTTTTTTTGTTCGTTTTTGTCTTTAAATCTTTTTATCTCTCCCTCTTCCCTTTTTGCTGTTTTTTTTTCTCTCGTTTTTTGTCTTTTTAAAATGCCGAGTAGGTTTTCTAGATCAAGGTTCTCGGTGCTTGAGGATCTCTCTGACAAAGAGGGTCTCAACACACCGCTATTTTTTCCCTCTTGCAATGTGCACTTCGTCTCTCCAGCCCGTCATACGAAAGAACCATTCACCTGAAGAACTTAAAAAAAAGAGAGAAACACTTACTCCCGCCCATCCTCCTAAGTGTTAAAAAATCCCCCCAAAAACAAAGATTAACGACAAGTAAGAGAGGCGATTAATCCTAAAAAAAAAAAAAAAAAAAAAGACCTCGAGAGACAAAACAAAACAAAAAAAATGGCCAACTCGAGGAGCAGGAGAGAACCCCGCCCCCCCCTTCTCGCGTCCCCCGAAGGTTGAAATGAATCTCAAGAACTGCAAGACTTTCCGCGCCTCGTTTATCAATCTTTGTGATGTAAATGAGCCTCCAGACGAGAGCCCAGATTTCAATTGAGATCGCCTTGACGTCTTAAGCCCCACCGGCCTCTAGTCCTCCCTCCAGCAGGGAGCCCTCGCTATAGATAAACGGGTTTATCTCAAGCACTGTGTACTTGTGAGGTGTATGATGGGACGATGTGTAGCCACTTAATGATGTAAATTTGTCGGAGGAGGGTAATCCGACGCGTGAGATATAGGTGCGGAATTTGGATTTGTGGACTTTAGGTTGTCGATATCAGGGATGCGGAAGGGACTGGTTTTGTTTTGTTCTGTAGGGAGGGAGGCCGCATACGCTGCCATGGGACGAAGGAGAAAGATGATATTTGGCAGATCTTTGTGCGTAGGGAGAGACAGGGGAATGATATGGAGTGGGAGTGGTAGGAGATGGGTCTGAGGGCTATGGGCACGGCGTCGAGGCGCGAAGTTTGGCGTCTGCAGGTAGGTGGGAGGGTTGCTTCACGATGGTTTTTACTCTCTGGCTTTCCGTTATGGCTCTTCTGGCTCCAGTTGGTAGGTTGGAGAGCGGCGCTTCTGAGCGAGGTGTAAGGGTCGCGGAGTGTTGTACTAGTTTCGAGTGAGAGTCTCTGAGGGAGGTAGTCGGCGGGAGTGGATAGTCTTGAGTGTCGAAGGGAGGGATCAGTGATACTATCTCAGAGGGATGAGTCTATGATAGTAGGTAAGGGCAGGACGACACGACACGCACCGCCAAGACACGCACTCGCCGACCGCATGCTATATGAGAGAGAGAGAGAGAGTACGTAGATGAATGCAGTCAGTATAGAGTTAGAGAGAAGAGAAAGAGAGAGAGAAAGGACGCCAGACGACAGATAGAGAAATAAACAATAGGAGTGAGATGAGCAGAGAACAGACAGATAGATCGCTCAGAGAGAGGGTGGGGGGAGGGAGTGGAGAGAGAGAGAGAGAGAGAGAAGAGAGATGAGTGAAGAGCGTGGAGAGAGAGAGAGAGAGAGAGAGAGATGGGAGAGAGAGAGCGTGAGAGAGACGAGAGGTAGATGTAGAGTTAGATGAGATATTCGAGAGAGAGAGAGCCGCTGAGAGTAGAGAGAGGCATCTGAAGACGAGTACTGATGATAGAATATACTACCTTACATAAAGGAGACCTCCTTGTTATCTCTTCCATCCCTCGTTGCATCTCCTCATTTCCATGTCACCCACTCCCCTAACCTCGTACTTTAGATTTCCATACTTATCTGTACTTATATCTTTCCTCTTCTTCATTACTCTACACTATCTCCTTGTTACTATGTTTTTTGTTTTATATTTGGTTTCAACACACCCACCCCCCCTCCGTCGACCCCTCCCCACCCCTCTCTCTTTCTCTAATCCCTCTGTCATCTTATTATGCCGCAAACCCTTTATACGTTCACCTACGATTTCAGACATCTCGTTGGCTCGCATTTCGACCACCATCTACTCTATCTTCAGTGGTTTGTTATAGCTCACGTGTTGTAGCAACCTGCCACTTCTTCTAGGTGTCCCTCTCCCCCACGCTTTTCCTCCCGCCTTCTTCCACCAACTCCTCCACACCTCCTTCTCGGTGTCCTAGCTGCGAGGCCCTGTGGTGTCCTTGTGCGCCCTTTGGACGTTGTGGTTGTGTTGTGTGTTTTTATATATATTCAATACCTGTGTACGCTCTTCCACCCGTAGTTAACGGCTTGTTAAAGTAAGATTCATATTATACTCTTAGCCTCAGTATTAGTCCAGGTCTACTCGTTGTCTATTGAAGGATGTCCTTAGCTCTTGTCTGTTCTATGAAGGATGATACTCACGCTCCTTCAGTCATGTCTTGAAGTTGAGTCCCTACGCATGTCTTGAAATTTAGGATGATTTTCCCTCGCTGTCTTGAAGGAGTCCTCATCAGTTGTCTTGAATTATGAGTCTCACTTCACGTCTGTCTATGTAAGAGAGTCCCTCAGCTGTCTGAAGGAGTCGTCCTATCGTCTCGTACTTTGCAAGGATGGTCCTCCTTCGCTGTTGTTTCTTATTGCTAATGGAGTCCCTCCCGCTGTCCCTCACGTTATAGTGACGTCTTGTTTCGTTCTTGGACACTTACGTCCTCTTGCTTCTTGTTCCTTTGTCTCGAAGTGGCAGTCTCTCACGCTCCCTCTTGTGTGGTATGTTCCTCGTGTCTATCCGCGTATGGAGTCCTCCGACTGTCCTTGACGGATTACGATCCTCACGCTGTCTATGAATATTGTGAGGTTCACCTCTCGGCTGATACCTCTTGACATGGAAGTATCTCTGTGTGGTCCGTGTCTTGAGAGCAGAGAGTGCGGCTCCTCGCTGGTCACTTGCAATGGATCTGCCCTCGTCCTGTCTTGAAGGAGTCCCCGCTTGACACTGCATGTCGTTTGATATGGAGTGCTCATCTGGCTATGTTACTTGAAGGAAGTCCCCTCGCTGTCTTGGGATAGTTGTAGTCCTTGTCGTTGATCTTTATGATGGCGCACGTTCTTTCTGACGATGCATCTATGTAAATGGAGTTCCTGCGCTATCGTCTTGGCTTGATAGGAGCATACCCCTTCTTCTCTGCCTGTCTTCGCAATGCGCACGTCCAATCGCTGTCATTTGAAAGCGAGCTTTCCTCCTCGCTCGCTTTCTCCTCTGACTTAGTGTACTTCCTTCTTCTCGTCTTCGTCCTTGAAGGCATTCCTTATTTACCTCGCCCTGCTTGATACGCGGCTCTAGCTTCCTTGTTCCACTTTGAACGCACGTATTCGCTACTTCTCCTCACGCTGTCTGAAAGGAGTCCCTCGTTGCTACTTTGTAACTCGCGCCACGCTCTCCACCTCTCGCTGCTACTTCCCACTACTCTCTCGGCACGTGCCTACGCTCCCTTCCGCTGTCCTCTTGACCAAGCTGTACGCTCCTCTATCGTCCTCCTCGTTCCACCTTGAAGGAGTCCCTCGGCTGTCTTGCGAGTGCCACGTCAACCTTCTGCCAGCTCCCTTCGTAATTGCAAGATGTTCCCCTCTATGCTGTCTTCCGAATCCGACGATGCTCTCGATCCGTCTTCGCGCACGCGACGTCCCTCGCTGTCTTGTAAGGAGTCTCGCTGTCTTGAAGGAGTCGCTCGCTGTTCTTGAAGGTGTCCCCTCGCTGTCTTGAAAGGAGTCGCCTCGCTGTCTTGAAGGAGTCCCTCGCTTGTCTTGAAGGAGCAGTGTCTTGAAAGGAGTCCCTCGCTGTCTTGAAGGAGTCCCTCGCTGTCTTGAAGGGAGTCCTCGCTCTTGTCTTGAAGGAGTCCTCGCTGTCTTGAAGGAGTCCCTCGTTGTCTTGAAGGAGTCCCTCGCTGTTCTTGAAGGAGTCCCTCGTCTGTCTTGAAGGAGTCCCTCGCTGTCTTGAAGGAGGTCCCTCGTTGTCTTGAAGGAGTCCTCGCTGTCTTGAAGGAGTCCCTCGCTGTCTTGAAGGAGTCCCTCGCTGTCTTGAAGGAGTCCCTCGCTGTCTTGAAGGAGTCCCTCGCTGTCTTGAAGGAGTCCCTCGTTGTCTTGAAGGAGTCCCTCGCTGTCTTGAAGGAGTCCTCGTTGTCTTGAAGGAGTCCCTCGCTGTCTTGAAGGAGTCCCTCGCTGTCTTGAAGGAGTCTTGAAGAGTCCCTCGCTGTCTTGAAGGAGTCCCTCGTTGTCTTGAAGGAGTCCTCGCTGTCTTGAAGGAGTCCCTCGTTGTCTTGAAGGAGTCCTCTGTCTTGAAGGAGTCCCTCTGTCTTGAAGGAGTCCCTCGCTGTCTTGAAGGAGTCCCTCGCTGTCTTGGAGGAGTCCTCGTTGTCTTGAAGGAGTCCCTGTCTTGAAGGAGTCCCTCGCTGTCTTGAAGGAGTCCTCGCTGTCTTGAAGGAGTCCCTCGTTGTCTTGAAGGAGTCCCTCGCTGTCTTGAAGGAGTCCCTCGCTGTCTTGAAGGAGTCCTCGCTGTCTTGAAGGAGTCCCTCGCTGTCTTGAAGGAGTCCTCGCTGTCGGAGTCCCTCGCTGTCTTGAAGGAGTCCCTCGCTGTCTTGAAGGAGTCCTCGCTGTCTTGAGTCTTGAGGAGTCCCTCGTTGTCTTGAAGGAGTCCCTCGCTGTCTTGAAGGAGTCCCTCGCTGTCTTGAAGGAGTCCCTCGTTGTCTTGAAGGAGTCCCTCGCTGTCTTGAAGGAAGTCCCTCGCTGTCTTGAAGGAGTCCCTCGCTGTCTTGAAGGAGTCCCTCGCTGTCTTGAAGGAGTCCCTCGCTGTCTTGAAGGAGTCCCTCGCTGTCTTGAAGGAGTCCCTCGCTGTCTTGAAGGAGTCCCTCGCTGTCTTGAAGGAGTCCCTCGCTGTCTTGGAGGAGTCCTCGTTGTCTTGAAGGAGTCCTCTGTCTGTCTTGAAGGAGTCCCTCGTTGTCTTGAAGGAGTCCCTCGCTGTGGAGGAGTCCCTCGTTGTCTTGAAGGAGTCCCTCGTTGTCTTGAAGGAGTCCCTCGCTGTCTTGAAGGAGTCCCTCGCTGTCTTGGAGGAAACGCGGTGGTTGTCTCGCCCAGTCGCCTTAGTAATTGGAAGTAGTTTGGTCCAGGCGGAGGGAAGGCGCGGTGGCACTGTGCGCAGGCTGCGGGCGGTGAGTGCCAGTCCTGCGCGTCTGCTGCTCAGCTGGGGCGGCCGACCCTCCTGGTGGAGCGCTGGGGTGTAGGGATGTGGGTGTGGAAAGGTACGAGGGAGAACGGATGTCTTTAGAATACAAGAGGTGTATTTGACCGGTTTCGAGTACATCTTCGTCAAAAATACACAACGAATGTCTTCAGAATACAAGAGGTGTATTTGACCGGTTTCGAGTATATCTTCGTCAGAAATACACAGCGGATGTCTTCACAGTACAAGAGGTGCATTTGACCGGTTTCGAGTGTATCTTCGTCAGAAATACACAACAGATATCTTTACAATACAAGAGGTGTATTTGACCGGTTTCGAGTGTATCTTCGTCAGAAATACACAACGAATGTCTTCAGAATACAAGAGGTGTATTTGACCGGTTTCGAGTGTATCTTCGTCAGAAATACACAACGAATATCTTCACAAGGGATGTATTTGACAGGTTTCGAGTATATCTTCGTCAGAAATACACAACGGATATCTTCACAAGGGATGTATTTGACAGGTTTCGAGTATATCTTCGTCAGAAATACACAACGAATATCTTCACAGTACAAGAGGTATATTTTACCGGTTTCGAGTGTATCTTCGTCAGAAATACACAACGAATATCTTCACAATACAAGAGGTGTATTTGACAGGTTTCGAGTACATCTTCGTCAGATATACACAACGGATATCTTCACAACCGGTTTCGACAGAAATACACAACGAATGTCTTCAGAATACAAGAGGTGTATTTGACAGGTTTCGAGTATATTCTTCGTCAGAAATACACAGCGGATGTCTTCACCATACAAGAGGTGTATTTGACCGGTTTCGAGTGTATCTTCGTCAGAAATACACAACGGATATCTTCACAATACAAGAGGTGTATTTGACCGGTTTCGAGTATATCTTCGTCGGAAATACACAACGAATATCTTCACAATACAAGAGGTGTATCTGACCGGTTTCGAGTATATCTTCGCCAGAAATACATAACGAATATCCTCACAAGAGGTGTATTTAACCGGTTTCGATTATATCTTCGTCAGAGATACATGTGTTTCTGACGAAGATATATTCGAAACCGGTCAAATACATTGTATTGTGAAGATATTCGTTCTCATTCATACCCTTTCTACATTTGTCATCACGAATACGGTTCATAAAAATATATGTTTTTTAATGATAATTGATTATGATTATAATAATAATTGATAATAATAAGCACTGGGGGTATTGTTCTCGCGGGGGATAAGGGGGGGGGGGGGGATTACACAAGGTTCCCCTGTGGTTCTCGCTGTCATGCATTCTTGGTAAGCTGGTTCGTGTGACTTATCAGGAGGCGCTGGCGTGGATCCGAAACCAGCTGGGAAAGTCGTGACCCTACAGCCGTGGATCCATCTCTTGCCAGCTGGTGCTTGGCCTTCCTCGCGCCAGCTCCGAGGTTATCAGCAGGAATCTTGAATGGAGAAAACACTCTACCGTGTGCAAGAAATGGAGAGAAATTATGCAATGTAGAAAATGACAGAGATAGAAAGAGAGGCATAGACAGAGACTAAGAAATAGAGAGAGAAGAGAGAGAGAGAGAGAGAGAGAGAGAGAGAGAGAGAGAGAGAGAGAGAGAGAGAGAGAGAGAGAGAGAGAGAGAGAGAGAGAGAGAGAGAGTATATAAACACCCACACCCACCCACACAAACACACACACAAACACACACACATGTATATATGTGTGTGTGTGTCTGTATGTGTGCATGTTTATATATATCTATATCTATATTTATCTGTCTATATATATGTGCATATATTTTCATATATATATATATACATATATATAATTATATTATATATATATAATATATATATATATATATATATATATATATATATATATATATATACATATGTATATACATATATATATAATACATATATATACGTACATATATATATATATAATATATATATATATATATATATATATATATATATATATATATATATATATATATATATATATATATATATATATATATATATATATATATATATATATATATATATATATATATATATATATATATATATATACATATACATACATATATGTATATATATGGATAAATAGATATGTATATCATAAAAGCACACACATATATATGTATATATGTAATTATGAAAAAAGCAAACACAGTTATCTTGTACCTTGTTTTCCCAGTCACTGCGAAGGCCTACTGTCCCGCCGCCTGTGTTTGGAGGAACCGTTAACGAGGAACCGAGAACAAACAGATAAAAGACGAGGAATAAGAAGGAGAAGAGTGAGACAAAGGGGTAACTGGTATATTTTGTATTTTGTTCTTTGTTTGTTCTTTGTTTGTTCTTTGTTTCAGGTTTATGGCGAGAAGGAGTTTGGAAAGTCATCGTTATGAAATCATTAGAAGGTTGATAATAATTATAATAACTATAATAATATCATAATTATTACAATGATATTATAATTAGTATAATAATAGGATAATTAGTGTTGATAATAGTGTAAGAAAAAGAATAATTATGTTAACAATATGACTGTTTAGGATAATGACCATTTCATTATTGATGATAAAGATAGTTATAATGATAATAGTAATGATAATGATGGTAGTAATGATAATAGCAATAATAATAATAATAGCTGTAATGACAATAGTAATGATAATAAAGATAATAATGACAATAATGATAATATTGATAATAATGATAATAAGAATACTACTGATGATAAAAATACTAATGACAATAAAATGATAATGGTTATAAAACAATAATGATAATGATAATGACGATGATCACAGAAATAATGATAATAATACAGATGATAGAGAGAGAGAGAGAGAGAGAGAGAGAGAGAGAGAGAGAGAGAGAGAGAGAGAGAGAGAGAGAGAGAGAGAGAGAGAGAGAGAGAGAGAGAGAGAGAGAGAGAGGGCGAATAGAATAGATAGACAGATAGACAGAGATAGAAGAGAGGGAGAGAGATAGAGAGAGAGGCGAATAGATAGATAGGTAGATAGACAGAGATAGATAGATAGATAGAGAGAGAGAGAGAGAGAGGAGAGACAGCAGACAGGAGACAGAGAGAGAGAGAGAGAGAGAGAGAGAGAGAGAGAGAGAGAGAGAGAGAGAGAGAGAGAGAGAGAGAGAGAGAGAGAGAGAGAAAGAGAGAGAGAAAGAGAGAGAGAGAGATACATACATACATCCATACATCCATACATACAGACAGCCAGGCACACAGAGAGAAACAGATAGATAGATAAATAGATAGAGAAGAGAAAGAGAAAAAAAAGAGAGAGCATAACTTGGGCAAGCTCCTAATCCTAGACTCGCTCCACGAATGACCTTTTGACCTCAAAGGTGAAACCATGACTGGTCGCTGTACTACTGTTCATGGAATCGAGGAACAGATATGATGATGATAATAATAATGATAAAAGCCATTTACAAAACGGGAAACGCTATCGAACAAGAGATCGCCTGTCATTCGGATAAAAGGAAAGTAAGAGAGATAAAGATAATTGTATGTGATATGAAAAAGATACGGTAAAGGAAGGAGAAATGGTATTATTATGAATTTTCGAGTTTTTGAGTGAAATTTGATGTGGTGATGATATTTTTATTTTTATAATCGGTGATGATTTTAGGGGAAGGGATGGAAGAATATGGAAGTGATAAAGAAGGAAAGAATGAATGAAAGAAGAGATGGAGAGAACTGACAAGAAACAGAATGAAGGTGGGACGAGGGAGAAGAAACGAATAAGCAGACTCGAAAAGACCCAGAGAGAACCTGAGAGATACGAATGAGGAAATAGATACAGGCAAACAAAAAGCAAAATAGGAAGACACAGGAAGAGACAACCAAAGAAAAATTGAGATAAAAAATTAAAAATAAGTAAAAATGAAAAATAAAAAATGAAAATGAAAAATAAAAAATAAAAATAAATGAATAAATTAAAAAAGAAAATGACGGAATAAATGCAAGTGTAAAATATAAAGAATCAAAATCAAAGATAAAGAAAAAAATATATATACAAAGAGAAAAACAAATCGAAAAAAACATGAAATAATAAATGATTAAAAAAAAATAGTAAAACATACAGTAACGAAAATGAATAAAAAAAAAAAGAAAAAAAAACGAAAAGAGAAACAGGAACAACTACGAATGAGAGACATAGTGAATGGAAAAAATAAAAAGAAAACCGGACTCAAAATGGCACACGTGGCGACACAGCTTGCACAGTTGCACTCTTCCTGCAATGCCTGCTCTCGGGGGGTGGGGAGGGAGGGGTGGGGGGGGTAGGAAGGAAGGAAGGGGGGGGGGGGGGGGGTAGCAAGGGTAATTAGGGCTCTCCTGATAGCGTCGCTGATGATAATGACTATCACATCTGATACTATTGTTTCTCCTTGTAATGCTGGTCTTATCATGGTATTTATGGAAGAAATGATACAGTTAACAGATGTGGAGGATAGTGATTGCAAAGAAATATTTTATGTGGACAAATGATAGTAATGATGATAATGAAGATAGAAATATTGATAATGATGATTATGATTATGATATGATTGTGGATAATGATATTGATGATAATAACAATCATATTGATAATAAAGATATACATGTATATATATATATATAATATATATATATATATATATATATATATATATATATATATATTATATATATATATATATATACATATATATAATATATATACATATATATATATATATATATACTATATATATATATATATATATATATATATATATATATATATATATACATATATATACATATATATATAATATATATATATATATATATATATATACTATATATATATATATATATATATATATATATGATATATAGTATATATTAATATATATACAGACCACACACACCACACACACACACACACACATATATACTAATATAACATATATACATATACGTATATACACTATGTCTGTGAGTCTGTGAGTGTGTAGAAGTGACGAATAATGATGAAAATGCTCTTCCAATCGCGGCCATCTCAACAGCATTGCATATCAGTCTCCCATTGATCCCATGGCAGGCTGGGCGGCTCGAGTGCATTCATTCATATGCATTGGCGCTGCGGGGAGAGGCGGGAGGAGGGGGGTGGAGGGGGGGTGGAGGGCTATTTGGGGAGGGGAGGGTGGGTTAGGTAAGGGCTTGGGGAGGGTTGGGGAGG